TGAATAAAGACATGAATGATTAACAGAAATAACTGTTAATAACTGTTAATTGTTTCCATGCCACTTGCCAAGATGCATTAGAGGCTACAAGGGATTTCCAGCTATTAAGCTATTATGTCCACACCTCCAGGTGGGGAGGCAGTGGTGTTAAATGAAGGTCACAGAGTGATTTATACAAAATGCTACAACATTTTTGCTCATTTTTTTATTAAATATCTCTGCAGTGCTATTCCCTGGGAACTCCTGCTTTACACACCTCACAACTGCTCAGCTTTCCATGGAATCACAGGATCATTAAGGAAAAGATCAAATCCAACTTTGAACCAAACACCACCATTCCCACTAAAGTGTATTGCCAAGTGCCACAAATACTTGTGAACACTCCCAGGGAAGGTGACAACAAAATCTATGGCGAAAATGTGGGGGTTTGCAGCAAACGGTGGGATGTCCCCCAAAGCACAGCTTCTGCTGGAGAAATATCAGGGAAACTTCATGCTGTCAGGCTTGGGAGTTTGAAAACTCTCAAAAACAAGAAAGAAATCAAAGCATAAATGTGTTAATTCCTTGGAATATAAAATACCTGTGGTTTTCCATGCTGGCTCCAGGGCTGAGGAGTGCCCTACAGGGGTGGGCTCCAGCCAGACACAGCCCCCCATCCCAGGGGGATGCTCCATTTTCTGCGGGCCCATCAGCTGCTGGTTTGAGCTCCATATGTCTCACAAAACCCTCTTAAAACAACTTCCAGAAATGCTTTTATTCCCAGGATGTTCTGACTTGAATGCATCTGATTCATCCCCCTTCTAAATGACCCTTTTACAGCACAGCCTGAGCAGCCAAAGGGAAGCAGGGTTGTTTTCTCCCTGCTATCACAATCAAGTTGTTTGGTATAAAATGTGGCTGAGAAGTGAATCCATAATGTTCCTGGCCATGTAAGGAAACTGCTATTACCAGGAGGAAAATGCAGGTAGTAACTCTGTGGGTTTTTCTCCACTGGAACTGTAATTAATGTGGATGCTGTGCACTAAGTGCAGGGAGAAATACAGACTTCACAGCAGTGAAAATGCATCTCATTAACACAGAAACTACTGTATCGTCCAAATGCATTATGTTCAGCAAGGAAAAGCTGTGTAATTGAATTCCCACCAAAGCACACTTCATCTGCATCAAACAGCACCGTGCTCATCCTGCAGCTCCTTCAGGCTGCTGCTGGAAATGAGGATTAATTAGGATACCTGCTCCTTACTCAGGGAGCAGGCACACATGCGGTGGTCAGGCTTGGGGCTGCAGTGAGAGACTCTGCCAGCCAGGCAGAGCAGGGTGACTCCAAAGATTTGGATCTTCTTGCACTCAGGATGCACCAAAAAATCAACATTATTTTGTCTGTTCAGAAAACGCTGGTAAAAAACCCAACAATTCACAGGAAGGCACCTCTGCTGCATAAATACTTCAGTAATAATTTATAAGTGATTTATGGAATTGGTTTTGAATTATTCTAGGCTGGATTGGCTCGAGTGGCAGGGATGTGTATAAATCATTCTGTGCACAGCACCTCCCAATCCCAACATGCAGCTAATGAACCCTCTGGAGCTGAAAACACTCCTCCTTCAGGAAGAGCCCACTGATCTGCAGCATTTTAACAAGTAAATTATTATTAATTTAAATAAATACATTAATAACTCCCAAATACAGCAGAGGAGAGAGTTTGGGAAGGGGTAGGAGGCATCCAGACAGAAACAGCAGAGAAGGTTTGGAGATTTGGAGTGGGAAATCTGTGCTTTTCTCTCTCTTTCAGTGAGATCCAAGTGGGACTAATCCATCTCTTTGCTACAGAACCTCCCATCCATGAGCCCTGGCACTGGGGTGTGGAAGGACAGCAGGAGCTTGTTAAAATGCATTTTAGCTCATCATCATCTATCGTCCCTTTTCCTCCCTGTCCCATTTGCACCAGAGCTCCAGCACGCAGCTCTCCAGCATCCCACCAGCATAACTTCCAGGCTGAGAAAGCCCTGCAGAGCCAAACTCCAGAGTTGTTCTGGGCAGAGGCATCTTGGGGCAAAGCAGCACACAGGGAGGAAGTTACCCCATGCCACGTTGGGGTCCTGCTATGATTTTCGTCCACATTCACCCCAGACCTTGGCTCCCACAGTCCCCCACAATGAGAAGGGCTCAGCCCCCTCAGCAGCCCCTTTGGGTGTCATTTTGGCCTGGAGGGGAGGCAGTGGGAGCAATCCATCACCCTCAACCTTTGGAAAACCAGCTGGGATATCATCTTAAGCTGCCGCTCAGGTGAATTTTACTCACTGGAGGTGCCAGGTGTGAAAAACACCAATCACTTGTTTTAAAATTTTAAAAGTTTAATAGTGGTAAAATGGTTATAAAAATAGCAATACAAATTAGAGCAATAAGAATTTGGACAATCAGAGTTAGGAAAATAAAGGGCAATAAAAGCAAAGAATTATGAATGTCCAGATACTTTCCTTTTGAAAACATGCTCACTTACAAAGGAGTAACCCTTAAAAGCAACAGCCTGTTGCACATTCGTACATCTCATACAAAATAATTCAAAATTATTCAAAAACTCTTTTCAAACAAAGAGTGTTCTCTGGTTATTGTCAACTTCTCCCCCTTAATCCTGTTGGTGCCTCAAAGATGAGAAGGAGGCAGATGAAAGTTTCCAGTAAGGCAATAATTCTTCTCTTTTGGGATCTTAGTGTCTTGTTGCTGTTATCTCTGTGTGAAGAATTTCTTGATTATCCCATCTCTTTCTTGAGCTAGTTAAAAAATATCTTACCTAGCATGGTTTCTATTTTAACCTTATGTTATAACCTAAAACTATATTTAACACACTACTTAAGAGAATGAATACAGCATAACTTTCTAGCATAACACATACAATATTCATTTTAATATTTGTGAAAAGACAATCATATAATACACATTTTTCACACCAGGGATGCTGAGCTCTGCCTCATTCTGGCTCCCTAAATATGTGGGACATGATGCCATCTCTGCCAGGACCTCACTGTGCTCACCAGAGCCTCAGCTCCCATGCAGCCTGGCACACCCCATTACTTCCCATGCTTCAAATCCCATTATTCAGCTCTAACGAGGAAATAATTTTAATTAAGGAAATTAAAAATGTATTTGCGTTGGAATTTTAAGTAGGTGCTAATTTGAAGGCATGAAAAGGAGCCCTGGGGCCTGTTTGTGTCAGGAGCAGGAGGGGATGGGGATGGAGGAGGGGAAGGGCCCTCTGCATCCCCTGGGGACAGCAAAGGGTCCCTGGGGAGCAGGGACAGGGCACAAAGGCAGCTGTGAGAAACAACTGCTCACTTTGAAAATTTAAAGAGGTTTATTAAACCTTGACAAAAATACAACAAAAGGAGTACATAAGGAAAAAAGCTGAAGCGGTGGGATGAATACCACATGGCAGGTTCATCTTCAAGATGGATGCTCAGTCTTTTATACCCCTGGGGGTTGCATCAGCCAGCCCTGGCCCCTCCCAGGGTCTGTCAGTCAGCTCTTCTTTGCCATTTATCAGTGGAGACTGCTTTATGTAACTGGATTGGAGATCAGGTGTTGCCATGCCTCACCCCCTAAGCACCAAGCTTTTCCATTCCCAACTGCCCCATGCAAGGGGCACATGTGCAGCCTTCTTTGTACCTGTCCTAGACAACCCCGGCTGTCTGATGGTAACACTACAGGAGGGGGAAAAGGGAACTATGGGGAGAACAGAGGACATCTAAACTACAATAACATAACTATACATCGTTAAAGCTTTTCTTAATGTTTACACAATAGTTATCCCTGAATTGCCAGAGCCAATCATCTCACTATCCATCTATAACACAGCAAAAGGCAGAACTACCCCCCAGCTAAGGAGGGCTCCAGCTGACTCCATTCTGTTGTCATTATATTGCAAGAGTTCTATATTGCTCGAGTTTCGTACCTCCTTGATGTTTCTTGTAGGCAGCTCCTCTAGGCACTGACTTGTCCTCACAGCAGCCAACTGACTCTAGTTCCCACCAATCCAGTCTTTTATAACATTCTTCTTGTTAGCTACAGCTGTGGCCTGTTAAAATCAGGCCTGCTGCTAATCTTTAATAATTAACCCAGCTGCAACTCTTTAGAGGGTAAGATTACTTTCTATACTACCTTTATTTACATATATTCTATCCCCCTACACCATTCCTGAGGGAGGGTGGAGCCAGGTGCCAGTAAGGCTCAGCACAAAAGGAGTAGGCCTCAAGTTGCACCAGGGCAGTGTTAGGTTGGATGTTAGGGAAAATTTCATCATGGAAATGACTGTCAAACATTGGAACAGCTGCCCAGGACAGAGGTGGAGTTTCCATCCCTGGAGGAATTTCAAACCCCTCTGCATGTGGCACTTGGGAACCTGGTTTAGTGGTGGGCCTGGCAGTGCTGGGAGAACAGCTGGTAGTCAATGATCACAGAGGGGTTTTCCAACCTTAATGATTCTACAGGTCAATGAAAAGCAGGAAAAAATGTGTTGGAAAGTCCTTCAGAGAAGCCCTGAAGCCACGAGGCCACAAGGAGGGTTAAAATATTCCAAAGGTGTCCCAGATCCCCAAGGGCTGCAGGGGCCTCTTCTGTCATCTGCACGGTCAGCCCCAAAGGCTCAGGTTCATCTGGAGGTGCCAGCTCCTGCTTCCATTCCCTCCTTCACTTGGCATTGGAACCGCTGCCCAGGGCAGAGGTGGACTTTCCATCCCTGCAGGAATTTCAAACCCCTGTGCATGTGGCACTTGGAAACATGGTCTACTGGTGGGCCTGGCAGTGCTGGGAGAACAGCTGGTAGTCGGTGATCACAGAGGGCTTTTCCAGCCTTAATGATTCTGCAGATCTATGAAAAGCAGAAAAAAATGTGTTGGAAAGTCCTTCAGAGAAGCTCTGGAAGCCATGAGGCCACAAGGAGGGATGAGAATATTCCCAAGCTGGCCCAGATCCCTATGGGCTGCAGAGGCCTCTCGTGTCCTCACCTGGAGGTGCCAAGTGCTGCTTCCATTCCCTCCTCCACTTGTTGCTGGTCTCCAACATCACAAGACTCCATCAGCACTGTCCCACGCTTTCCACAGGTGCCACCAACCCACTGGGAGCTCAGCTGAGTGACAGTGCCACGAGGAGGTGGCTTTTGGCCAGAAGGAAGGAGATGCTTCTCATTTTGTGTCCTTGCAGCAGAGACAGCCCAGAGAAGGCTGCAATGCAAAACTCAGCTTAATGCAGCTGGGTAAGAGTCCTATCAAAACAGCAGCTAATTAAAGTAATACCCAGTGTTATTAATGCTGCAGCTCTGCCATCACCCATGTATTTATAATAATAGTGTTCCCACTGTAATAGCATTAATCATAATGGATTTACTAAGAAATTAAGGGGGAAGTGATATTATCACCCTCGGGAACAGCACTTGACAGCAGCCCTGCTTAGTGTGTGGATGTGGATTGCTTTAATTCTCAGTGTCTCACTCATTAATCTGCTTTTCCAAGGGCCCCTCACAAACACCCCTCTGGGAGTGCAAGCACAGGAGGTAGGACAAGCAGAGCCAGGAGAGGCAGAGCAGCCCAGGGAATCCTGGCAGAGGGTCAGCACAGCCACCAGGGTGTCCTCATGGGGTGTGAGGGCACGCTCCTCTCCTGCCTTAGTGGGCAGTGTCCATGTCTTAGCATCATCTTTTTCCCCAGCCAATCTGCAATTCTCAGCTCCATGCTTAAAAGACTCTTCTAGCTTTACCTGGGGAGCAAGGAATATTCAGCACCTCTTCCCTACATTTATAACAAGCACTCAAAGGTTTTATTGAAACTTGTTTTCCCATAGGCCTTTCTCCTCATCAGGCTTCTGGTTCAGGACACAACAGCAGCTTGTCTGGGCCAGGGAATGCAGTGAGACACCCACAAGGCTCAGCCCACCACCCTCACCAGAACCCACCCATGATCAGCACATTGAGCTTCCACCAGCAGCTCCTGTCTGATAAAAATGAAAGCTTGATGTATCTCCTAAAAGTTAGATGATCTGAATAAAATTAAATCCTGATAAAAATCAAAGCTTGATAAAAACTAAAGCCTGAAGTCCAAAGTGATCCAATGATTTTTACCAGTTCAGCTTTCCTTGATTAGTTTATGGCTGTATGTAAAGACAGACATTTTATCACAACTTGCATTAAACCCCTCTGATGCCTTGCCTGGGAGAGTGGAAATGGCCTGGAAGCTGTTCACCAGCCAGCAGGGAAACAAGCTGAAGGAAAAATGCTCCCAAACCTTGGAAAGCCCTGGAGCCCTCTCAGGGCTGGTGTCTCCAACATGGGCATCTGGCTGTCCCCAGTGTGGCCTCCAAGGAAACATGGGGGTTCCACAGCTAATGAGTACCTGGATTTATTGTGCCTATCCTTTGCATCACACAAAGGGCCTGAGGACAACGGGTTCATTTTGTCACCCCAAGTTTTTGATACACAAATAAACACATTTCCACCTTTTCTTTGCCCATTTAATTTTTTTTCCTTTCTTTTTTTCTACTTAAGGAGAGGGCTGGGCTGCATGCCCAGGGACTCCTCCATATCCTGCCCCCAGCCAGGGAGGCCGCAGTGAGGTCTCCCCAGGGCCTTCTCTCCTCCTGGCTGAGCAACCCCAACTCTCTCAGCCTTTCCTCAGAGCAGAGGGGCTCCAGCCCCTGCAGCATCTCTGGGGCCTCCTCTGCACTCCCTCCAACAGCTCCAGGTGCTTCCCATGGTCACAACCCAGAGCTGGGGCGTGGATGAGCCCGGGAGGGGCTGCCGCTTCATGGGCACCAGGGCGGAATTTTGTGTTATCCCTAGAGAGGAACTAAGCGCACTTGGATGCTGAAGGATAAAATGAAAGGGATGAATGTGCTGGGCAGTCCTGCTGCCAGAGGCAGTTCCTTGTGGAGGCTGAAGAGATCTGGCAGGGGCAGATCCTGGGGCTCCCCTTGTCACAGCCCCCAGTCCAGAGTGGCTGCAATGGGTGGAAGGGCCGGGCCATGGATCCAGGCCCAGCTCAGAGCTCCCTGTGCTGTGGCTCCAGGCCCAGCTCAGAGCTCCCTGTTGTGAGGCTCCAGGCCCAGCTCAGCTCAGCCATGCCCAACCCAGCTCAGAGTTCTCTTGTGCTGTGGGTCCAGGCCCAGCTCAGAGCTCCCTGTGCTCCCACAAGCACAGGCTCCAAATCAAACCCTGCCCATGGGGACACAGCAGCCCTGCCACACTGGCTCCCTGCAGCTGAGGCTTGGTCTGCAGCACCCAGGGGTGCCCACACAGCCCTGATTGTCCCCAAGGCTTCCTGGAGCCTGAGCCCAAGCCAGAGGCCCCGTTACTGAGACTCCCTTCTGCCTCCAGCCCCTCGGGGTGCCCGGGAGCAGGGGGTGCCCACACAGCCCAGCACAGCCTTGGTGGCACTGGGGACACGAGGGAGGAGCCCTGGCTGAGGCTCTGCAGGACCATGCAGGCTCGGCCCTGCTCCCTCATGGGCTCCCATGGGCCAGGGCCCGCTGGGGTTTTGCCCAGCAACTGCAGGGGCAGAGGGATCTCTGTCAGTGGGACCCCCTGCGCACAGGGACCCCTAGCCCCCAGGTGTCCGTGCCAGCATCCCCAGGGACCTCCAGCCCCAGGAACCCAGAGAAAGTGGAAACCCCAACTCTGCAAACGCTGCTTGTTCCCAAAGAACATGCAAAGAGAGCTGAGAAAAACAAGGACAATGTATTTACAGAACAGCACCACCAACAACAAACTACAGAATGTATTTACATTATAAGAATCTTTATGACAACAACAATCTATGAAGTGTATTTACAGTAAAAGGATCTATATAGCAGTCTAAGAAATGTATTTACAGAAGAACCTAACTACAGCTTATAGAACGTATATACAGAAGGGACAGTGTCCATCATCTCTGTCAGTTCTGGAAGAGAGGGAAGCAGCACAGGACCATTCCAGCCTGGCCCTGAGGGCTGTTCCCTGTGCCCCCAGGCTGGCACACGCTGGCACAGTGGCACTCTGCTGCCAGCACTGAGCCCAGCTGGGCTGGAGCCGGGCCCCAGGCGCTGGGATGGGGCTGGTGTGGCCCAGAGCAAGCACAGGACAGGCTGGGGTGGTGTTTGTGCCCCCACAATCCAGAGCCCCCTGGGCACCGTGTCACTGTGCCACCCAGCCCAGCTCCAGCCTGGCAGCAGGAGACCCACCCTGCCTGTGGGCAGGGCATGGCCAGCACTGGCCTGTCCTGTCCTGGGGCTCCATCTTCATCCCAGGATCATGGGCTGCTCCTCATCTTCCTCATTGACCTCCATGTCCTCCATTCTTCCTCCATATCAACCTCCAGCTCCTCAACAAACTCTTCCACATCCACCTCCATTAGGGGCAGGGCATGGCCAGCACCTGCCTGTCCTGCTGTGGGGCTCCATCTTCATCCCAAGATCATGGGCTCTTCCTCATCTTCCTCATTGACCTCCATGTCCTCCATTCTTCCTCCATATCAACCTCCAGCTCCTCAACAAACTCTTCCACATCCACCTCCATTAGGGGCAGGGCATGGCCAGCACCTGCCTGTCCTGCTGTGGGGCTCCATCTTCATCCCAGGATCATGGGCTCCTCCTCATCTTCCTCATCGACCTCCATGTCCTCCATTTCTTCTTCCATATCAACCTCCATCATCTGCTCCAGCTCCTCTACCCCATCAACCTCCATGTCCTCCATTTCTTCCTCCATATCAACCTCCATCATCTCCTCCAGCTCCTCTACCTCATCAACTTCCATGTCCTCCATCTCTTCTTCCATATCAACCTCCATAATCTCCTCCAGCTGCTCTACCTCATCAACTTCCATCTCCTCTGCAGTATCTTCTACATCTACTTCCATACTCTCTTCACTATCCATATCCACTTGCATGTGCTCTTGGGTGTCTCTACCAGGCTATATCAGGAAGATGCCTCAGAGGGAGTCTCTGTTCCACACCAGCACCACTTTGCTCCAGCCTGCCCACGCAGTCAGGGGGTACCCCCCCTCCCTGGAATGGCACTGCACCTTCACTGGGACAGCAGTGCACTTTTTTCATCAGTGATTTGCAGGAAATGAGCTTTGGAAGAGGCAGAGATTGAATTTTCTTGGGATGGGAAATGGTTCTGTTTTGGGAAAGGGAAGCTGAGCAAACTTGCTGCCAGACGTGGTGTTTCCCGGTGGGCAGCTCGTGGGGACTGTCCAGGCTCTGCTGCAGGCAGGGCGTGGTGCTGGGAGCACAGCAACAGGCCAGGCAAAGAGGGAGGTCAGCCCAATCCCTTGGCTTTTCATTTTGTTCCCTACTCAAGAGTAAAATCAAAAGATTTCATGTTTTCTGGGGCGGTAAGAGGCCCTGTCTTGGTGTGGGCAGAGCAGCCTTTCCCTGGGACTTGTCTCTGAGCTCTGTTACACGGTTCCAGTGGCCCTTTGGTGGCCTCCTGCCTGCCCTCCATACCCACCCTGGACTGCTCCCCATCCTCCCAAGGCTTCTCAGCAGCTCCTGGCTGGAAATGCCAGCAGCTGTCAAAGCTTCTGCTCTGCAGAGCTGATTCCCTGGGGACTCTGTCGCTTAGACGAGACCACGAGGAGCAGAGCAGAGTCAATGAGGGCCCTGCTTACTCTCTCTCGGTGGGGAACAGGGTAATTATAAAGTACTACTAAGGAAACTGCAAACCCTGTGGAAGCTGCGGCCCGAGGGCCCGGCGGGGTGGGAGCGGACAGCGGCAGCAGCAGGGTTTGGTGCGGGAGCAGCAGGGTTCGGTGCGGGAGCAGCAGGGTTTGGTGAGGAAGCAGCAGGGTTTGGTGCGGGAGCAGCAGGGTTTGGTGCGGGGCCGGCTCGGCTGTGGGTCCGCAGGCGGAGCGGGCAGGACGGGCCGATCCAGGGGCCGTGGAGCGGAGCTGCGAAGGCAGGAGAAGGCCGGGTGCGGGCCCGGGCTCTGCTCCCTGAGCAAGCGCTGAGCGGGGCTGCAGCGAGGGCAGCGGCTGCGCAGTGGACAGGGCCGGGAGGGCTGCCCCGGGGCTGCCACGGAGCCTCCAGCGGGGCCGGGCCGAACCACCGGGGCTGCCCCGGTGCTGCCGGCCCCGTACTCCGGGCAGGGGCTGCCGGGGAGCTCCTGCCTGCCCGGGGGGAGCGCCTGGAGGAAGCTGCCCGGGAAGGGGCCGAGTTCGGGCACTGCTGGGCCCCGGGCTCGTTGCACTCGTTGCTGTGGGAGCCCGCAGCCCTGCCCTGCCCATCGCCCCCGCCGGGGCTCGGTGCCAGCACCCAGCGCTCCCGCAGCGACCCTGCAGCCACCGCGGGCACCGGCACCCGCAGGCCCCAGCGCAGCACGGCCAGCGCTGGGCCCTCCACAGAAGTCCTAGGGCTACTCCACCGTGAGAGACAGGGATCATAGAATGATCAAATCCTTAAATGGTTTGACTTGGATGAGCCCTAAAGATCATCCCATTCCATGCTGAGCACTCTCCCTGCAGACCAGGTTGCTCAGGGTGCCGTCCAGCCTGATGCTGAATGCTCCCAGGGATGGGGCTTCCACTATTGGTGCCGATCTCTCACCAACCACACTGGAAAAAAAATCATCTTTCTCCCCTCAGTTTTCAGCCATGCCCTTTTCTCCTCTCTCCACAGGCCCTGCTGAACACTGTGTCCCCATCTTTCCTTTGGGCCTTTCCTCAGCTGCTGTGAGGCCTCCCAGGCTCCCTCACTTCACCAACGGCGAGAAGCCCCCTTCCTCCGAGAGTCCTTATGGCTTTTCTCTCCCCGCTGCTCCATGCTAAAATCATCCTTCCATCTCCACAGCAGCTCCTCTCCATGTTTCCATAACCATGCAATAACACAGCCCATCTCCACCAGGCTGCTGGGCGGTTAAATGCAGAGCTGCCTCCATAAATAAATTCCAGAGCAAGCCCTTAGTATGGTTCTGTCCTGGTTTTTTGGACGTTGCTAGAAGAGAACATCACCTGTGGGTGAAGTTGGGATGGTTTGTGGGGTGTGGGAGCAGTGGGTGTCACAGAGAACATCCCAATGGGTGGGAACTGGTCACAGGCAGATTGAAGGAAGCTTTTAAAGGTGAAGACTTAAGTGAGACCTTAAATTGAGAATGAACATCTGGAGATGAAGCCTCAGCTGCAGGGTCAGTGTGTGTGCCCATGCTGAGAAGCCACCACGGATTGTGGATCAGGGATGGGAGCAGTGGGACCTTCACCCTGCCAAAGCCAAAACCTTTGGCTCCAGTTCAAGGCAACAGATTTGAGGCATTTCATGCCCACAGTGTCACCAAACCTCAGAGCCCCAGCAGGGACAGCCCCAGCCCCTCAATGGCCACACAGAAGTGGTGGGAACCCTGTCAACACATGTCCAGCAGAAGCTGCAGCGTCCCTCAGTCTCTATCCCAACGCCCCCATGGCTCTCCCTGAGCTGGAATTGCTGTTTGGTGGGTTGATAAAACAAAAGCACCCCAAACTTTCCAAGCAATAAGGTGAGCCCTGCTGAGGAGCTGAGTTAGGACCTCCTGCCCTTGCTGAGGGATGGTTTGGCAGAGGAGAATAACATCAGGTGAGGGGTGGAAGAGGTGGGTGAGGGAAGATTTGTCACATTCTCTGACAGCAAATGTGACACTGGAGCGAGTCCCTGGGCACAGGGGATGCCCCCACAGCCACCCAGCACTGACAGCCGTGTTCTGGGCAGACGTGTCAGAAGAGCATCCCTGGTCCCCAAAAGCCTCCCAGCCAACCACATGCACACACAGCCCCTCTGCCCTTGTCCTTTATTTTCCAATTTAACTCTGCTCATGTCCCTTGGCTCCTGGCCAGGGGATGTGGAGGGCACCAAGCTCCCTGCAAACAAAAGGAAGTTCTCCAGGACTGTGCTCATGAGATTATATCAGACTTGTCAATATTTGCTCAGGACTGAGGTGGAGTGACTGAACTGAATGAGGCTGAAGAATGATGTCAGGTATTGGATTTGGGAAGTGCTGTGACAGCCCATGGAGGTGCCTGCTGAGGCATCACCAGCTGTTCAACTAAAAACAGCTTTTCCTTTTTATCCCTCTTCTTTATATTTTAACTCTAATTTTGTATTTTAGTTTACATGCCAGGCAGAGCTGCTCCCTGTTGCAATACATAAGAGTGTTTTGCATTTTATCTCTGTGTCGTTGCTGGTCAGGTGGAGCTGACCATCCCTGGGGCATGAGAGGAACAGAGCCAGGAGAGATGCCTGACCCCAGGGACTCTGGCACTGGGAATCTCAGAATCCCTTAGGTTGGAACAGACCCCCGAGATCATCGAGTCCAGCCATGAACCCGGCCTTGCCAAACCCAGCCCTAAGCAGAAAACCCAGCCTGGATCTGTGTGAGCTGTCCCCACACTCAGCACCAGCCCCAGCCTGGGTTGGGACACCCCATCCCGCTGCCCGTGACAGAGGGTGGCAGCTCCCGGTGTCACCTCCAGGGACAGGGGCTGGGCTGTCCTCCTGCCGGGGCTGAGGCACTTGGGGACCCCAGCATTGTCACCTTCTCCCCCCGCACTGGAGCTGGTTCAGCACCCTGATGGAGGGAAACCCATCCCGGCATTGCCCTCTGCTGGCAAATCCCTCTCGGATGAGCTTTTCCTCCGCTGTGCTCTCCCAAAATATCCTGGGGAGCAGCTGCGCTGGCTCTGGATGTGCATCTGGGCACCCACAGCGTCCCCAAATCCCGGCTGGTGGCACCAGCGGCCTCAGCTGGAGGGATTGGGTGAGGAGGATCTTCCCTGGGGCTTGGAGCAGGGTCAGGAAAGCAGCTCTGGAGTGACCAGAAACAGAGACTAGAGCCCTTCTGGGCTGAGCCTTCCCTTGGGGAAAAGGGAGCCTGAAATTTAAGTGGGAGAAAGTGCTTTTATTAAAAGCTGGCAGCTAGTGACTCCATCACAGCAGGGAAATATTTAATTTAAAGTTTCACGGTGCTCAGGTGAGAAACACAGAGTGGTTTGTTGGGAGATGGTTTTCCAGAGAAGTGGGATGCTGGGTGATGAGCCATTGTTATTTAGGGTATGGGTGACCTTGTCAGGCTGGCCTCAGCAGGGTCACCTATGCCCCATCACCTTTGTCCCCTCAGGTGAATGTCGGGGGCTGGCAGAGCACCCCGGGTCAGGCCCTGCATTCAGGACAAGTGCCTTGTGCCCAGTAGCTGGGGTTAGTTACCCCCGAATGTCAGGGGAAGAGCCAGGAACGGTGGGCAGGAGCCTCTGCTGTGCCAAGTCTGTCTGTCTGTCCAGAAAGGCAGCTTTGCCTCCAAGTGTTCGAGTGGGAAATTGCAGGGACCGGCCCGCGCTCCGGCATGGCTTGGAGGGGTTTGTGTGTCTCTGCAGCGGATGGAGAGGGGGATATTGGGCAGGAATCCTTCCTGTGAGGGTGGGCAGGCCTGGCACAGGGTGCCCTGGCACTGGGGCTGCCCCTGGATCCCTGGCAGTGCCCAAGGCCGGGCTGGGAGCAGCCTGGGACAGTGGAAGGTGTCCCTGTCATGACAGGGGGTGGAATGGGATGATCTTTAAGGTCCCTTCCCAGACAAATCCGAGGATTCTGCAGGCACAGCAGAGAGGATGGGCCAAGGCAGGGCAGCAGGACAAGCTTTTGGGTTGTGTCTCTGCTGGACAGCTCAGCCTAAACCCCACTGGTTCCTGGGACATTTGAGATCCTGAAGCCAGAAAGCCCCAGAAGCCTCAATTCTACCTCATCCCAAAGCCATCTCTTCCCTAATGCCCACAGGGGAGTCCCAGGAGCTGCAGAGGTTTTGGAAAGCTCACTGTGGATGGGGAAGTTCTGCCCAAGCCCGGCACTTCATGTCCCTGTTCTGCTGAGCAAACCCCTTTGAAACCTCCTCCCATCACACACAGAGTAGGACGAGGCCAGAGCAGGGGAACAGTTCAGCAAAGGAGAACCCCAAGGACAGCAGGAGAATCCCAAGGACGGCAGGAGAACCCCAAGGACAGTAGGAAAACCCCAAGAACGGCAGGAGAACCCCAAGGGCAGCAGGAGAACCCCCAAGGACAGCAGGAGATCCCCAAGGATGGCAGGAGAACCCCAAGAACAGCAGGAGAACTCCAAGGACAGCAAGAGAACTTTAGGGATGGCAGGAGAACCCCAAGGACAGGAGGAGAACCCCAAGAACAGCAGGAGAACCCCAGGGATGGCAGGAGAACCCAAAGGACAGCAGGAGGGTGACATGAGGCAGCCCCAGACCCAGCTGGATCCACCCCTCCTTCACTCCCAAGGGACAGCCAGCTCTGGCCACAGCTCTGAGGTGACAGAGAGGAGGTCACCAGGTTCCCACAGCACAGACAAGGAAAGGGAAACCTCTGATAATGCCCTAAAACGTGGCCTCAGAATCCTGTCAGCTGAGCAGACTGGGAGATGTCCAGCTGAGCTGAAGGCCTGGAGCCAGGGGAGGGAGGAAGGGCAGGAAGAGGAGGGAGGGAAGGAGGGAGGAAGGGATGGGGCTGGGCTGGTGAGAGCCACAAGATTTGGAAAGCATCACTTTGATTTAATGGGCCTTGATGTTTGAAAATGAAGTTGAGAGTTCTTTTCTTTGCCACAGGGCTGAGCAGCCAGCAGGATTTAGAAGGGCAAGAGCTTTCCAGATGAGCCGTGCAATTTTGTAATAAGAACCAAAATAATGATAAAAATAATGAGCAGGGGAGGGAGGGAGCGCTGGGCTCATCCAAATGTTAACCTGAGGGTCCTCTCAGCAGCACCCTAATAAAGGGATTAACCTGCTCTATTAATTAGTGGTGTTACATCTCTCCAGTGGGAATAAACTCATCCTTACAGGCTAATTCTATAAACACGCTGCACACAGGGACTTCAGTGAGCCCAGTGCTTTTAATGAAAGGAATGAGATTTAAACACAAATGAGATTTAAACACACACCTCTCTGCAAAGGGATTAGAGTGGCCCCTGCTGTTGGCATCTGTGGGGCTGGTCATGATAACCCAAAAGGGTGAGAGGCAATGGGGGCACCCCAGAGTGGGGAGTCCATCCCAGAGGAGCTGTGGGGGGATGGAACCCCCTGGAGAACCCACAGCCATTGCAGCCAAGGGGGTGCCCAGCCCTCTCTGCTGTTTGGGTGCCCAGAGTGACAGAGGTGTCCCCAGCAGCCCAGGATGTGGCCCTGGGGCTGTGCCTGGGGGTGGAGGAGCTGCAGCATCACCGGAGTGCCCTGTGGGGTTTTGGGGTGGGGTTTAGCAGAGGGGGCAGGTGTGAGGCAGAGGGAGCAGCAGGAGAGAGGCACAAGGAGCTTAGTCCAGGCTGTGAGCTCCAGGCCACCAGCTCTGTCCCTCCAGAGCAAGCACAGGACACCTGCAGGACTCCAAAGCTTGAGGGTCTAGTGAGGACTGGGAAAACTGGGAGCAGATGGAACCAGGCAGTAACTTGGGTGAGACAGAGCCAGGGAGCTGGGATGTGCTGCTGTGAGAGCAGCAGCAGGGCTGGGTTGGCAGTCAAACTGGCCCCAGAGCAGGAGCAGGACCCAAGGGTGAGATGTCACAGGAAGGGGGAATGTGACACAGGGGAAGGCACCTGATTTATGGCACTGAGCTCTCACTCACAGGAATGCCATGGCCTGTGTGTTGCTCCAGGGGACACTTCCCTGCAGGGAGAGCACACAGGGATCTATCTGATGGCATTGTATGGAGAAGCTGTGCTGTCCCTCAAATGCTTCAAGTACCAAATTGTAGATGACAGATTTTAGTGAGGACATTCCCCTCAGTGCATGCTGAGAGGCTCCCTGGCATCTCCTG